ATATCTGATGAGAATGCGGGGGATGCAAAAACGGAGAAGGTTGTGGTAAAGGAGGAACGCCCTCACTTAGATGTGGCAGAAGTTTTATTGAACTCAATGGTGAAATTAACGTTGAACCTCACTATGAAACTTCATAAGCATAATGGAGGGTAGAACGTAGTTTTGTTGATAAATAGTGGGGCCACCCATAACTGCATCTCTACTCAACTAATGGAACAATTGAGTCTTGAGATGGTGAACACAAGATGTTCTGGAGTTATGATGGGGACGGAACAGGTGAAGAAAAGCAAGGGAGTTCGCCAAGGAGTGATTTTAACACTGCAAGACATTTAAGTAATGAAAATTTTTCTTCCCTTCAATTTAGGAAGCACTGACGTAATATTGGGTATGAAATGGTTGCAATCCATAGATGAAAATGTCTATTTGGGGTAAAGGTGTGGTGGAGAAATTAGATTTTTAAAAAGTTGTGAGAATTATATATATATATATATATTAAAATCAGGCAACAACTTTTTTACAACCACCTTACTTTAATACATCAGGTTGAAGAATATAGTTTCCCATCACATAAAATTTCTAGAATAAAATAAAAAAATAGTTTCCCAACAGAGCATTGACGTTTTGAAACACAAAACAGTTAGAAAGCTACAAAACAGTTAGAAAGCTGTCCCAAAGTTTCAAGAGGGATATAAGATGAGGGTGCTTCACGGTTACTCTAATTTCTACAAAACCCTGGTGTTAACGGATCAATTGAATGTGGAAAGTCGTGGAAGGGAATGAGAAGTATGGGTGTAAAAGAGCAAAGGTTGAGACATGTTCGCGTTCAACCAGTTCATTTTTTTTTTGTGTTCGAAATAGCTCGAAAATTATCTGTTCGTATTCGACTTGATTCAAATTTTTTGTTTAAATTAAACTCTTGTTCATCGCAAAACAACAGTTTATTAAAATTTCAAAAAATAAATAATATAATTAAATTATAATGCTTAATTTTGTTTAAAAACAATCACAGATCCACAATTGGGTGAACCCAAATCTTGCCCATGCATTAAAATTACCTCTGTGAAAAAGAGATCACATTTTAAAAAGGGTGAGTGAAATTTATTTTAAGATTTTACGATGTCGGATTATACGAGCGAGGTGTAGCGGGAGACGACGAAGCAACTGGAGAGAATGCAGGATGTAGGAAATTGCAGAAAGCCAAAAGGCATGCAAGAAATCTAAAATGAATTTTTTTTTTTTTGAAATTTACATACATACTACCCTTTTTAATATATTTAATAATGTGCCAACTCTTGCATGCAATTTCCTGAAAAAAAATTTGTGAATGTGGCAAACTGGTGGAGCTTTTACATGTATACCGGCCAAATCTTATATATTTTTTACAATTGGAGAGCATATTTTAGGAAAATTCTCATTCAAGAACAACAACAACAACAATAAGCTTTTATCCCACTAAGTGCGGTATTTACATGAATCCTTTCTCTTCATTGGATCCTATTGAGTGTCATATTTTCATTTAATGCTAATAAATTAAGATCATTTTTTTATACAATATGCCAAAGTCTTTTAAGATCTACCATTGCCTTTCTTAACATCAATCGAAACTAAAACATATATTCTCTTGTCGGACCATTAGATGGTCGATGTTTAATGTGAACAAACCATCTAAGACTACTCTCTCTAATCTTGTCTGCCACTGGAGCCGCACAAACCCTATCACGGATATATTCATTTCACATTCTGTCTCTAAGTGTCAAGCCACTCATCCACCTAAGCATTCTCATCTCAACAACACTTAACTTCGTTTTATGCATCTCTTTTAAAGGTCAACATTCTGCACCATAGAACATGCAAGTCTCAACATCATCCTATAAAATTTTCCTTTCAGTTTAAGCAGTGCTTGTCTATCACACAATAGGCCTGAAGCATTCCTCCACTTCAACCAACCAACTTGAATTCTACTAATAACATCTTTATCTACATCACTGTTACTCTGAACAATAGACCCGAGAGATCTAAAACGTTCACACCTTTTAATAATTTGATTACCCATAGTTACAACTCCGTAACTAGAGTTACTACTACTAAAATCACATTCCATGTATTCAATTTTAGTTCTACTCAAACGAAGGCCTTAAGACTCCATTGTAGACCTCTATAATTAAAGTTTTTCCTGAACTATTTCTCTAGTATTATCCACAAGAAGGATATCATCAGTGAAAAGCATACACCAAGGTACATCCTCTTATAAATGTTCAATAAGTGCATCCATAACTAAAGCAAAATGATATGGGCTTAACGTCGATCCCTGATGTAATCAAACTGAAATAGGAAAATACTTAGTCAATCCTCATGTTCGAACATAAGTAACAGCTCTAGTATACATAGCTTTAAGAACTTGAATAAAATCATATCAACACATTTTTTCTCTAGATCTCTTCAAAGAGCTTCTCTTGGAACCTTATCGTAAGCTTTTTCTAAATCAATAAGAATTATATATAGATCATTATTATTCTCTCTATACTTCTCCATTAAACCTTCCAATAAATGTATAGCTTCCATAGTAGACCTCCTCGGTATAAATCCAAACTAATTAGAAATCTTCGTATCACGTCTTAACTTATGTTCGATTACCATTTTTCATAATTTTAAAGTTAGACGCATCAACTTAATTCCTCTATAATTAGCACACTTTTGTGCATCCCGTTTATTCTTAAAAATGGGGACCAAAATACTTTCTCCACTCCTCAGGCATCTTTTTAGTTTTTAAAATTATATTAAAGAGTTTAGTAGGTTAATAAACTCCTAAATCTCCTAAATATTTTGACACTTCAATTGGGATATTATCGGGTCCTACTGATTTTCCACCCTTGGTTATCTTTAAAGCTTTCTCAACTTCTTTTTTACTAATGTGATGGTAAAAATAAAATATTTTATTATTATTAACGATTTTAAGATCATTAAGATCAATTGTATTTTCAAAAACTTCATTAAAAAGTTTATTAAAATAGCTCACCCACCTATTTTGAATATTTTCTTCTAAGAAAAGCACTTTTTGATTTTCAACTTTAATACACTTTATGTGAGTTACATTTTTACTTTTTTTTCTCATTGTTTGGTTATTTTTAAAATATATTTTTCACTCTATTTAGTATCTAATCTATTATAAAAATTACTAGAAACAAAATTTTTAACGTCACAAACTGTTCTCTTAGACTCCTAACGGACCACCTTATATTTTTTTCAATTCTCTAAGCTTTAAATACAATAAAAATATAAATAAATAAATTTAATTATTTAATTATTTTGAACCAAAATGAGCCGAACACGAACAAACAAACATTTGTTTGTGTTTGACTAGTTTATAAATTGAGCTAAAAAAATTGTCCTTATTCGGCTCGCTTGTTTAATGAACGAATTGAACATGAGCTACTTAAGGTGTTGAACACGAGCTATTTGCAAACAACGGGATTTTTTGACGGCCCTATTGAAAAGACTTAAGGGAATTACAGGAGACTGTCAAAAGTTCGTGAAGGGTTATAAATTGATTATGTGGCGATGGATGAAAAAATTGTAGAAGGATAACTTCCAGTGGGGAATAGTGATGACCCAAACTTTTGAGAAGTTGAGGGCCATGATGAGTGTGATAGTGCTGACAGCAAAAATTAGACTCAAGTCTGTTTATGAGCGGGAGCCATACAACTTTATCCAGCAGCAATTTTTCCCACCTTGAAGACAATTTATCTTTTCGATGATGAAGTTTTGTTTCGTCGATGCCTAGCCTAAGGACAATTTTATATTTTATTAGCCCAGATCAATTTAGTTTTCTATTATTTATTATGGTTTAGTATAAATAAAGCTTGATAGTTTAGGGTTAGTGTTATGCAAAAGAAGTCTTAAGTCTTACGGTTAGGGTCTGGGAGAGATTTCATACCTCTCGAATTGTAGTAATGGGAGAAATCACCTATCTCTTAAATTTTAGGTGCTATCTTATGTATTTGTATTGAGTTGCATGTTGTTCGTGCAATAATGCCTTAATTTTTTTTTTTTTTTTTTTGTGGAGATCGTTCTAAGTGTTATCACTGTCCTACCCTTAAAAGGTTGAGCTCCCCTTGTTGTGCATTGGACTTAGCCATCAACTCTCACATGAGGAGAATGCCCGGCTTCAGCTGAAAAAGCTTGATGGTTCAGAAGAGCTGTGATTGCAACGAAAAATAACAAAGTCCAGTAATAACTCCTATTAATGAGTCAAGCTTGAACAAGCTCAGCTCTTGTTAACCTTGACTCGTTGAGAAAACAGACTAAATATTATTTGTTTATGTATCATTAATTGTATTCAAATCTTCAAATTATGTCTTAATGTTTTCTTTTTATTCCTGCTTAAGAAGTGTTTATTTATTTTCAATGAGAAAATCATAGATCACCTCTCCATTCTTTTCTAATTATACATGTACCCCATAATCGATGGAGTGTTAAATCAATAGTCTTATATTTTACTTTATCCAAACTACTAATGATTTTCTTTTATTAATCCTCCTCTCTTTCCTCTTATTACATGAGATTTGAAGTCCATTATGAACAAATTTTTGTACAACATCCGGCCCTGTTACCTTAAATTTAACTTCTTTTTATTAATGCATTCACATTAATTCTATATATCCATTTTATTGGCTCAACCTGAGCCCTCTGTTGACAAAAATGTGAAATTAAATACAGTATTAGCAAGATCAACAATGTTTTATTTTTCAAAAGGACAAATGTAAAAAATTCCATTTTCATCAACAGCATCATGAAACTTTTAGAATTATAACTAATTATATTGCCCATGGATTTCTCAGTTCCACAGAAACAGCACAAGTTCATGTATCTAGATATTGTCATTAGTTCATATAATTTCCTTTTCATACTAAATGATGGACTTACCTGTATGTATGGACAGAAGAACAGGAGTCAAAGGAGAAATAGGACCTCAATTCATAAAGATTTTTAGGATTCATAGTACAACCGAACTGGGAAAAAAAAATGATACACTGAATATCAAATTGAAATTTTACACAAGTACCGCCATGACAAAATTTGTGGGAATATATCAAAGAGAGACGAGAAAGAAAAAAAAAGGGTGTAAGATAAAAGACAAGCCTGTACTTGGAAAATATACTCATCAACTAGCATTCAGTGCATAAACAGCTATAGACCCTTGAAGATCACGGTCCACTTTAAAATGAGCATGGAAGAATCTCTTCTCCTGTCAAAAAAAAAAAAAACTGGATAAACTCGTTGGAGCAGAAAGAATTAAAGAACAAAACATCTTATGCTATAGTTTATCCTATTCACCCATGAGATGACATTTTTGCTGTGGTATAGCCTATTCACCTAAGAGTTCACACGCATTAACAATGAGAAAAGTGTCAAAATAGTTCCCCCTGTCTTTGCAGGGGATCGTTTTAGTCTTAGAGTCGTCTATAGAAATGTGAGTTTGGCCCCCACTCTTTCAATATGGGATATTTCATCGCCAATTTAAAGAATTTGGGAACAAATTTGACACTTTTATAGACTCTGAGACTAAACTCTTTTGACAATTTACGCCATTAACAATTCACTATGTTGTTGGAGCAATAATTGCTTATTTTAGCAGAAGGGGTTTCGTAATGCCTTACATTTCATTCAAATAACACACTAAAAAGGAAACATGCCAGAAACTAATAAAACTGGAATGAAGGATTCTCTATATCAATCAAAACTAATCCATCTAGGGCTTAAAACTGATACTTTTTGCAAAGAACTATAAAGCTTGAATTGAAAATAATATGTAAGAATAATTTCTGAATTGCACTCAACAGAAAATACACAGAATCCAGAGAAAAATTCATTGAAATTCTGATTAGGCATAATAAATAGAGTAAAAGATTACCTCCGTAAAAGAAAATAGACTGAGAATTTCTCGCAATGCACGCTCTTGAGATTCAAATACTATAATGTGACTAGGCAACAAAGTAAGCCGGAATATCTCTGATACAAAATCAGACGGGTTCGCCATGAATTGATCTGACTCATCTAGAGCACCCTTAGCTTGACTAAAACAGAAAAATCAAATTAGATTATAACATCTAAGTTAAAATTCATGACAATTAGATCAAAAAGGTGAGGGAAATCACTTGGGAGAGCAATCCAGAAAACGCATAGGAAGATTTTGGTGCAAGGAAGAGTAATAAGGTGTAGAGTGACAGGGCATCAGAAATAAAATACTCCTAATTTTTCCATCTTTTGCCTCTTTAGATAGATAGTACATCACATCTTCACTTCCCCGCTGTATACAAAATTGGTATTATTAGTCACTAAAAATAAGCTACCATTGTAAAATCCAAGATATAAGGCATGACATTGTTATCATCTAGATTATTTACTTATCCTAAATAAATAATGAAATATCTTCTACATCATTGAATCAATTTTTCTTTAAAAACAACTCAAAGCTATATTTTAATTGTTTTTTGCAGAAAAATTGCATAAACAAGGTATTTTATAACATTGTTATCATCAAGATTATTTACTTATCCTAAATAAATAATGAAATATCTTCTACATTGAAGTTATTGAATCAATTCTTCTTTAAAAACAACTCAAGGTTTTTTGCAGAAAAAATACATAAGATATTTTATACGAAAAGCCTATCATACAAGTTCATATGTTGGTCGGGTAATTGCTTGTAGAAAAAAATAAACAATAATCAATTGCAGTAAAAAAGTTCCATAACGTAAGCAAAGATGGATGCAACGTACATATCAACTACTATAAATAATTCAAACTGTAATCTGAATCATAACATAAGAAAATAGTCAAAAAGTGGTTATCTCAGTAAAGTTTGTGCCTCAAATTTTGCAGTGGAAAAAAAAATAGCACCCCTTATATTTCTGCCTGCCGGTTATAGCAATCATCGCAAATCAGTTAATACGGTTCAAAGCCATCTAAAAAATTTAAAATACTTATAAACAAAACTAAATTCTTATTGGACAAGATGAATACATACTATATTGATGTTTTAATGAAAGAGTATCTCACCTGGTGTACTAGACTCATATATAATGCCATTGGTACATTAGTTACAATAAGAAATAAAATGCTTAATCGTAACTTTGATGGACATCTCGTGCCAAAAAATATCCCCTTTTTAGGGAGAGGATGCTTGGAGTGTGATAATGCTGCCAGTGAATAGCCTGAGAACATTAAAGCTATTGGAAGAACCGGCAAGACAAACCTGAAAAGCCCAAGTTATTTATCATGCAGATAATACTGAAACATTACTTTTTCACAAGAAAAATTGCTTTTTTACATTTACGCCGCCCGAATCTTTTATATCACATCACAAAAATCAGCTTTTACTTTTAAAAAGTGAAAGACACCTTTTCATGCACATGGAAGGTGGTATGTATGTAAAAAATCAAGTTTAGGTGTTAGGTATGTAAATACACAAGAATTGAGTGGTATGTACGTAAATCTTCCAAAAAAATGGAAAAAAAATATGATTCTTAAAAGAATAGCAAAACTGAATTTACCGAAATTCTTTGTGACCAAGTATGCTGTAGATCCCTAAAACCCAGGCAATTAGGCCAGAAAGCCTCCATTCATTCGACTTGAATATGCCAAATAAAGAATAGGGCAAGAAGGTGAAAAGCATTGCAGGGAAGCCCTGGGTGAAGTACCAATGCCAAACATGCGTTCCGTAATAATCCCCTCCAGATGAAAAAAAATTGAACTTGATAAAATTAATTGCCACAAAGGTCCAAGACCCATATAAACACCAATCTAGCAGACACGTAAGCGCAAATGCTAAAATCCTGTTCAGAGAAGAAAGTTAGCAGGAGAAAATAAACAAGAAAATAAAAATAAATTGGGGCCTTTAAATACATACCCCCAATTCCCATCTATTAACATATATAATATCTAAACTATACTTTTATACATTTATACCAACCAAATCTTTCATGTTACATAAGAAATGCCACAATGTTAGCTTTTCAAAAGTAAAATCATCTTTTCATTCATAGGGAAGATGGAATATATGTAAAAATTGAAGTTTAGGCGTTAGATATGTAAATAAATAGGAATTTAGTGGTATGTATGTAAATCTTCCAAATAATTTTAGTAAATAAGTTTCAAGGATAATGACGGACCTGCCTAAGCCCTAAAATGTCATATTAAATAAACTACAAGGTCACTAATGATCTTCATAATCATCATCATCATAATTATCAGATCATAATCTTCATCACCATTATTATCCAAATTCGATTTCACTAAAATCATAAAGCATATAGTCAGCATTTGTTCTTACTAAATCTAAACCCATAATATTCTGAAGAAATTACTGTTATTCTAGCTTTTCATTCGATTTAGAAGATGTCTAATCCAATAAAATTATCACCTGTATCAATGCCGAAAATTATATTATTGTGATAAACATTATTAGATCAGAAGTTTATGAATTCAATTAAAACCATATAGTATTGTTTCATTGCTCTCTATACGTTTCCATTAATTTCTTTAGCATTAAAATTATCTCCAAAATAAATTTGTCTAGCATAAATAATATTAGTTTATCCAATATTGATGATTTTTAAGGGAATAACTTCCATGGTACTGTTGACCTCATTTTTTGGGTGAGGTCTCTTACTCTTCTTAGAGCGTAGGACCTAGCCTTTAGGGTTTCCTACCGACTCTCTTAGAGAACTAGCCTAGGGCCCACACTGATTAGAAATTCAAGCCACTTCTTGACTCCTCGCAATTTCATGTCACTGGTTCTAAAATCCTCAACGCTTAGTTGAGTCGATTAGAACCAACGCGATGGAACTCGCGTCGAGTACCCTTAAGATCTGAAACCATAGGAAAACCCATCGCGATCTCTGCACACTTGTAGGATGCACGAAAACCACAGTGCTCACAGTGACGCACACAATTATCGAGATTCACGTCTCTCGCACCTGTAGGAGGCTCTACGATTAATCACAAGCGATTATTTCAAAGGAATTCGAATTTGATGTGTTTTCGACCCGACCGTCGACGAAGTCGTCCGGACGATCCAGAATGACGAAATGGATCGCGCTGGCGCGTCCAGAACGTCAACTTTAGTTAGGAAGAACACCAACTTCGATATGGTTTTATGCGCAAGCGAGAGGTGCGCAATTCGACGATTTTTAAACATTATTTATACCTTGAGGGGGGGTATGTTTGGCAATATAAGATTGATGAGGTCTTTTATTACAGGGAAAATTTTTAATTTGTCGCGATCATTGCATGGTTCCGTCCCCCAATTGGAGCCCAGGCTCCTCTAGCTCGTGACCCCTCTTGGTTCCGTCTCCGGGATTTAGCCCTAATCATGCCTTCCTGCATGTCGGTCCCCTCCCTTCACGTAACGAGGAGTTGACTCTTCCCCTCTCGACATCCTCTACCTGAAATCTTCTCTTTTTGATGCTTTCTGCTTCGTCTCACTATGCGGGAGCCCATTTGGGGTAGATTGACTGGGTACCTATGTTCCCTGGGTCACGCATGGGGAAACTTCTCCTCCTCGATCTTTCTTCGTTGTGGCCTCGACTGCGGCGTTTCTTTTTCTTTCGGTTGGGCGTGGTGCTTTGTCGAGAGAAGACTTGCGAGCTCCTCTTTTTCTCTGGTGTCGATAAAACTCGGTGGAGAGAGTTTTTTATGAGGTTACAAAGCTTGAGGCCTGGGGAGGTTCTGCAGAAATTTCTTCTCGGTTGGATCTTTGTATACTGAGTGTTTGGAGGCTTGGTAACTTGTCTGTTGTTGTTTTGGGAGCCTCCTACAGCAAGGTACTCCTTCCTTCTCCTCCTTGTTTTGTGTCCTGGTTCTTTTCCCTGCTCGACACATGTTGGAGACGTTAAAATGGGGGGGGAGGGGGGTTATTTTGTTCCTGTTGACACTTAATGTTGGAATCATGGGTTGATAGATTTTTTAGCTTACTTCAGTTCAAATGTATACCATTGGGCCTGTTTAAATATTTCATGATACTTAGCTAAGAATGTAGGCGAATGAAAGGCATGGTTCAATTCTTATGCATGGGTAAGCTTCCTCCTTATGTTCTTATCATATTTATGCTGGTACATTGTGGTTTGAGGGCTGTTTTAGCCTCCTGGGCTGCGGTTTTCCTTGTTGTCTGGGTTTAACGTGGAGTATTTATGGGTTGTTTCAGCCCTATGGGTTGCGGGTTTCCTTTGTTGTACTGAGTCGACACTGAAGCTTTTGAAAATTTTTTTACTTTGGGGGCTTTGTTTTGGGCTTCCCTGTTGCCCTCCTACTCGAAACATGTCCATGTGGCTTTTAATTGATTTTGGAGCTCGTAGAGGTTTGGTTTTGGTGGCTCAATTTTGCTTTCTATTGTTCCCTCTATTCAAATATATGCTGGAATTTTTTTTTTTTTGTGTTTTGAGCAGCTAGTTTAGTGGCTCGGTTTTGCTCTTTATGTTGTTGTCTCTGTTCGAATATATGTTGGAATTATTTCTTTCTTTGAGCAATTGTTTTAGTGGTTCGATTTTGCACCCTGCTGCTGCTCCTATTCAAATATATATGCTTGATGTTTTGAGCAGTCGGTTTTGGGGCTTGGTTTATTTCCTGTTGATGCCTCCCTATTCGAAATATATGTTGGATGAAAATTTGGTTTTCTTCTAAAGCTTGGGAACTCATTTTGGGCTTGGTTTTATTCAAGAAATGTTCTTGGGGAGAAATTAGAAATAAGTTATTTACTTGTTATAGTTTGTATGACTTTGATTTTATATATGAATTTCGAGTTTTGTTGTGTTTTTCCCATGAGATCTGAGTAGTTTTCTCTGTCTTTCTCCTTGTCTC